CACCACACACACACACACACACACATATATATATATATATATATTAATATTATAAGAGAGAGAGAAAATCAGAGAGACCACCGCCGCCTGACGCAGCACCCTGAGCTTCTCTAGCATTCTTCTGCAGAATAGCTTTAAGCCCCTTTTTGCCCTTCTTACTGTTCTGCGTTATTTTTCTAAGTAGCATACAGTAAACGGGCAGTTTCATATAAGTAATGTGTGAAAAAAATGTTCTACGTCAAAGTCTGCTCGAGAAAATCACCAACCTGTCTCAGTATGGCCAAATGATGAACATATCGACGAAACAGTATTAATATTAAGTATGCCAGAAATAAACTCGTATAACTGTATGCTGCGAATAAACCCAGGATATAAACAGCCTTCACAATTATCATAAATACATACCCATTCTTAGCTGTTGGGATCCCACTAGATTGTATTGCCTTTCGTTGTTTTTCTTTTCCAGAACTGTCTGCACCCACTTTGTGTTGTACGGATGCACCAAAACTTTGTTCCATCGATTTCGCCTTTGATGCAATCGGCCTTGCATAGTTTGAAGAAGGCCTCTCATTGCCAGCAATCAAGACCTTCTTTACTACAGTCTTCCTCTCATTTCGCAACCCACCGGCAAATATACTATTACGACTGCAATAAGTACAGTGCATAACCACTGTGCTTGTATTGGAGGGCATACCCATTCTGCTGTGAGAGTTGTGAAATGCTCGTGTGCGGTTTGACAGACCTGGATGTTCATGTGAAAGTGTGGTGGTTTCGTTACACTGGCGGAAACGATTGCGTATTGACTTTCCCGCAGCTAAATTAGGATTGTGCAATGTCCGACCTCTACCACAAACATTGGGCTTTCTGTTTGACTTAACAACCGCGTCGTCTTGAGCGGCTCTGCCACCGTCAACTACAGCAGGATATCCCTCCTGTATAGTACTCGTAGGGTTCCCTTTCTTCGTCTTGATTGTTCCTTGTAGTCTAACATGACATGTCTCCTCAGGCACATACAAAGTGCCGCAGAAGGTACACATCTTTTGCACCACACTCGGATGCAGTACAAACTGATTCTCTGACGCCATCTGCAATAAACAGCGCAGCACCTGGCGAGATAAACTAGATTGATTATTAGCCATGTATTGGTGGGCAATCTTCCACTGGTATTCGAGTGTGGCTAGAACAGTACCGGGGACTTCTTTCTTGGGCTGAGCCCTAATAGTTGCCATTTCGCAATGTATATCGCTACTTGAGGTTGCTTGTATGGTAACTACTATTGGATTGTCGACTTGAACATACAGTTATTGTCGTTAGATACTGCTTTTGCTTGTATGATAACTACTATTGGATAGTCGACTTGATCATACAGTTATTGTTGTTACATAACCCACCATACATGGCCACGCACGCACACTGACTTACAAGTCACAAGAAGGGGACAAGCAAAAGGGATTTGACACAACATGGCCCTCTGGATTAGGGTCTCTGCTAAATTTACGATTTCCGCTACGACAGAAACCCGATTTCTGCTCGCGATTAGGGCTGTGGACACAAGAGGGTTTCTGACTGTCGAGCTCTACGTTATTACTGGAAACTGACAGGAATATTTTATACTAATTAAAATACATAAAAAAGATTAAAATGTTGCACAAGTACCAATTAAAACACCAAAAAACCAAAATGGGCAAGATTGAGGAATTACTACCAATTAAAATATACTTTAAGAGCTCATCTTGTGTGCTGAGTGTGAGAGGGGAATTGCCTGAATTAGTTTTTTTATTCCATAAAATGAGGCCCAAGAATTGTGTACGTTTGGTCGTTCTCTGACTAGAGACTGACTCTCCTTTGATGTTTGCGCGGTCATACAAAATTAATAATAAAAGCCAGCTCTCGAGTCTGGTCTCGACTGTGACGACTCCGACCAATACACTACGGATGGCACATAAAATTTACATACCAGCATTCTGAAGTCCTATACCAACTCTGCATCAATCTATACGCTTTATTGCCTTGACTAGTTGTGATCGTTTGAGTGGATCTTGCATATCGTCAATTGAGAGGTTACGTCTGGTGCACGTTGAGATTTACAAGAGTTTAGCGGCGCGTAGAAACAAGGTCGAGTGCTTGAGCACTATTCCCCAAAAAGATGGCTGACGAAATAACAAATATGTTCCAGAATCTGGGCACCCAGGATCATGAAGCTTTGGTGCAACACTTTCAGGTAATCATTGATATTGAGCAGAGTCTTAAGAGTGTTACAGTATTATGCTGTGTATTGAGCACTACTTGTTTTACCCGTCATAATATGTATATGTGTTTCTTTATTGTGAATGTAAGTGTTCGCAACAATGTGTGTGGTCCAAACGTGGATATATTATCTGTTGGTGATCAGTATTTGTTCCTAGATAGGAGATGTGTAGTAGAGAAAGTCACTGAGCTAAGTCACATATGACAACGAAAAGATCATTATTTCTTCAGATACATGTATAGGTGAACACCGACGCACTCAAAAGCATTCCATACCTAAAAGAGTTTTGTGCACTCATCGATTGGCCTATGAACATTTAGGTGACCATACATCCAAATCCGTATAGTCAGACTCCTTTTAGAGTTACACATACAAATGTACGTTGATATACATAGTAATAACCTACATATATTCAATATTTATGTATATATAAACCTCTACACAGTCATTCACTCACACACACACACACACACACACACACACACACACACACACACATAT